ATCCCCATAAAGAGTTCCAGGGTCGAATTCGAGGGTTTACAAAATAAAAAATACATCAAGCTTCAGGAAAATAAAAGCAAACCCAACGGCTTATATTCGCTGATTGCAAAACCAACCAATTACACCGCTTACGAACCTGAATTGGTTGCCTTTCACAAATCATGATTTTGATGACAATCTTACGAAGAAACCGATTTAAGATATTATACAACTATTTAGCAATAAATAGCATATCTTTCATTTTTAGGGACCGATAATGTAATCTACTGCCCACTCTGGCTCTATGAAACAATTTGTTATATATTTTCAGTTAGCTTTATCTTACAAAGCAGAATGTGTAATCCTTTCAAACAATTTACATTCTGAGTTCATAGACAATTTCACTAAGATAAACGATACAAAATTAATAATTCCTTCAGAGTATCCATAAGGGAAATGATGAATGGAGTTGGGAGATTGACTTGGAAAGACATTCTCCATCACCTCCATGACCAAAACTGCAAGTGTATAACCTCAACCCTGCCGCAGTCCGTGCGTTTCTTGCCCTTATTTCTATCCAAATAAGGCCTGTGTCTGAAACCGAATGGGCTGATCAAGATATTCACCGTCGAAGACCTTATTTTATTTGCAAAGAACACAAAATCTACTAGCTCTATCTACCAACTAAATTCCCACAACCATTATGCGAAAATCTTATCTTTTCCACACTTACAATGCCGTATTGACCAGATCAGGAACTTATCAAAAATAAATGTGTTCACACCTTTTGCTTTCTGAAATGGCATGGGAATCTTCAGTGAGCTAAACAGTATAGTAACAAGCCATTCGTTTTTGATATACAAATTGCCTCCCATACAAAACTTAACCGACCAGTCGTTAGTGTTACTTTCGTGGAGTCAACCAAAATCATAACCCATTTAATATTGCTCATCATCTCTCCGTCACCAATCACCAAGCAAAGTCACTGCCGACAGACACAAAGCAGTACATAAATTAATAACCTCCAAGAGTGACAGAACTTTTGAGGTAATAACGCCTAACTTAACCACCACTGTGGAAGGAACATCTCACTTTATTGTTTTCGTCTCTGGTTACTTTGCAATTCAAAGAAAAGTTGTCTGTTTCTACAGATTCTTCCAGAAGGTAATCATTTGTTGGTTTCTTTTAGACAACGAAGATTTGTCACACGTGCATAAGTTTCTCTCATCCTGTAGAGTTAACTGGATTACTAAAACAAGAATTCCATAAAACCACGTTAAACTCCGGTATTTTGGTGTGGTCTAAACAGTTGTCGGCTGTATATCTTAACTCTTACTGTACGAATTATTATTTGTGGAACTATACACTTGAAGTAATCGAATTAGGTTTTCTGGAGTATAATTTTCCTCTAGATGATTCTGTCGTTGAAAGATATTGGCTTGTGTATTCTACTTGAAGTGTGAATTTCAATTTCAGCTTTTAGTCAATCAACGTTTTTACTGACTCTATTTTATCCTGCCACATTTTCTCCGTTCATTCGAATTCAGCAATAATTAGTAGTTTTTCGTGTTGATAGGGCTTAGATGCAATAGCTGTAACTAATCAATGTTTTATGTATTGTGTTATTTATGCTAAACAATCCAAATCATATTTTGGCATCTTGTATCGATTTTCCTGCTACCTCTCAACGTGCGCTTGATTATTTTATTTTTCTCTACATCTTGCCTACTTTCTCCATTCTTATCTGATTGTCGAGATGGATTTCAAGGGTATATCACTTGGCCCTTTTTATGGTACTTTCTTTGATTTACAGCAGTCTTCAAACCGGCGACCTTGGCTCGGCATTCGCCAATTCGCGTTGTATTTTCGTAGTCAGGGACGAACATGGTGTGTTTTAAGAACCACCTGTTTAAGACAGCTTGCTAAACACAGAAACACGCACAAGCTACCCTCGGTAAGGCGTATATAAAACCTCCATTCTAGGGCAAGTTGTTTTTAGGCAGATTGCTATGTATGCTGCTAATATGTTTCCAAATAGAGGGCATGTATGTGCCTTTGCCTTTATTTAGCTTGTTCAGCAAATAAAACTTCTCACGCTAAATCTTATATGTGCCAATAGGTACGGAACAGTCATTTACATGCAACAACGCAATGCACTGTCCGTCCTCTGCGGAGAAGTATCGGGTATGCAGAGACGGGAAAGACTAAACTAAAGAATAGGTGAAACCTGATAGAATTGCTTGTCCTGTCTCACAAACTGTAATATTTTTGCAAGTGCTGCATTGTCATTGTTGTTGTTCGTTTGTGTGTGTTTAAGATTAAATGACCAGTAGAGACAACCTGTTTGAAATAAATAGTAAAATCATCGTTCACTTCTGCAATAATTGTCTTGAATATAAAATCTAAGAAACACAAAACTGTGGTATATTTAGTTGTTACTTAATAAATGCACAACTTGCAAATTTATCAATAATATAAATCAAGCCAACACCAAACACAAATATGAAGATTTTTAAAAACAGAGGAACAAGGCAACACAGACAGAATAGGTTGTCAACTAATAACTTGATTTCGATAGTTTTCCAATTGGAAACCACAAAAGGACATCAACAGAGCTGTGGAATTAGGTGATGGCATCTCCTTTATGCCTCTGGCGCCTTCATCCTGGTATAAAATTCTAAGTATAACAAATTGATCACAAATTCCACTGACCCATGCTACCTTTCTAGCAATAATCTAATTTCAATGACGTCCAACTGAAATAAATTCCTTTACTTGACACGTCTAGTCGTTCCCTAAATAAGTAGCAACTGCTAACGTTCTAGCATCGGATGAGATGTCATCTTCAGTGCATATGAACTGAAGTTGAAGAGATTGAAACATGACTGCCAATCTTGGACGAATATTCTGCACTCAAGATAACACTGCATAGGGGCAAATAAAGCTCCAGCTTTGGTATACCATTTAAATCTTATAAAAAATCAACAAGCATTTTCCCGATTACTTTAGCTTATTGATCTCTACACGAGTTCAATGGGTCTGAGTGGTTCATGTATGGTAACTTGCATTTTTTCTCCCATTACAATAAAATTTTCGTAGTCGCATATGAGTTGACTCACTTTTACTTTGGGGGCAATTTCACTGTACTTGTAACTGGTAAAGTCTTTCGGGAGAACATCTTGTAAAGCGTAGAGAAACTCGGTAAGTCCGTAGAATTTTGTATCGGAGAAATTGATCCGTGGTTGCTGGTTGCCATNATCGTGCACATTAGTGGATCACAGTCACTTCCAACTTTCAAAAGCGGGCTTATGCGTTTGTGACACAAATCCATATCGCCTTCGCCCTAAAATAAAACAGAGCAAAGTGCTGTGAAATTTTTGTTTAGCGCGTTTTCCAAATGTATATATTTTAAATACAATTTTAAATCACCGTGCATAGCAGACAAACTCCTACTTCTCTCGTACACACAGACCACTCCTTTGTTACGGGTACCCACAGACACGATGTTTTCTAACGCTTCGGTCATTCACCCCAGCTAACATTTACTGACCCACTTCAACAATGATCAACACTCACCTTGGGGTAAAAATCTCAGCTAGCAATGAAGTTAAATCCATGGAGTCCGACAGGTTCTTTAGCCAGCTTTGGTTCTCGAAATATTCCCAAAGAGCACATTTCAAAAGAACAGCAGACTGTCTGACAAGCTCTTTTTCAGGTATTCGTATCCATGTGAATACATCACAATATATATTATTACTTAAGAATAAAATTGTCTTTGGAAAATAAAACAAATCGAAAAATAAAACCACAACTCAGATTATGCAAACCGATGGCAAAAACTTTTAGCTTCTGAATATCTGAAAATTGAATAATTGTCTTATTTAGAGATGCTTGAGTAAACCACCAGTGACTTAGAACTGCATCAGAAAGCTTTCTTAGAAGCAGGTATGATTAAAGTGTTCTAAAAAGTTAAAATCTTTTTAAACCGCAGTTTTATACAACAATGAAATGTATTACCGCTGAAATAACTTCACAGGATATTTTTTGAGTGTTTATCAATGAATAGTCTCATTTTGATTCAAGATATGGCCCTTCAAAGGATAGATACTTGATGCTTTTATCACTTCAAAATATTTTGAATAAACACCTCTTACCAGATATAGTTGTATGAAAAAGATATTCTACCGCTATTAAGGTGTTTATGCAGAAAAGGAAGAAGATATTTTAGCTGCCCTCCACCCATGAACGGTGTGCGAGAAGGCTAGGCAAAACCTATTACCTGTTTTAATCTCGTTTTATTCTTATGATAATTTTTATCATTAAGGCACGGAAGTATTGCGCAACAAAATGTTTGTGTATACAGCCAAAGAAAATTGTTTATAATCTGCAGCCAAAACATGTTAGTGGAAATAAAATAAAAGATAAGTTAATTTTTTTCTTTTGTCGGAAATAGGTGCTAACTAGGAAAACAATTGCCGTTCACAACCAAATGTTTGCTAACCACATGCATCTCTGGTGCGTATTACTTACCACAAACTTGACAACTTCCTTAACGTTTGAAAGTTTTGAACCGGAAGTATTGTTTTCTGACGCCTGGGAAACATTTTGAGTTAATGTTAGCCCTTTATTGATGCAGGGATCCTGAGTGTGGTGCAAAAAGGAGAATCAAACTTTAAATTCCCCCAGTCACAACGCCTTTTTGATAAAATTTGTTATCTCTTTCCAGTGAAAGAAAATTATACGAAAGTGTACGATCGAAGCCAACATGAGTTAAAGAGTAATTCATGTTTTTAAAGGTTATGACTCGGAAATGAGTAAATCAAATTATACTCCGCTTAAAATGAAAACATATATTGCTGTAAAACCAACGTACTTTCAATTTGCTTGTTTTGAAAGATTGTGTTGCATTTTACCAACTAATAAACGGTTGTTTTGCAGCCAAACTGGACTGAGATATAATGACCAACTCATGTTATTTCTCAAGATTATTTTTACACGTAACAATAATACAACCTAGGCTTCTAAGCGTGTGATTTTACTTCAATGAGTAAACTTGTAATGGCAGTAATACATACTGAATAAGAAGAAAAAAGAAAAACGTAAAGTAAATTAACATTCACATTTCTTATATTAGCCGTTTTATTCGACTCACCTTGATTTCTGTTAGGCTTGCGTATTTATCCATAGCAATGTTCTCTTTGTGGATTCTTAAAACCTCGGATTTGTACCTTTGGGTGGAATTAAAAAGAATCATATTTTTATTGCACTACTGAAAAATAGAACTTAGGTTTATAGTTACTAACCAGTTGTTTTTGTTTCAACTATGAAGCTACCCAAAACCGTTCTACGACAATGGAAGTTTTAAAATAAAAAATAATAATTTCCATTGTTTCATAATCGTGTCTTGGAATAAGTATACACACATGATGACAAAATAAATGAGAATAAATAAAGACACATTTCGTTCAACCCTTAGATTGTCATTTAAAATGTCCTTAATAATATTTTAATGCTATGAAGGTGCGAGTTTACGTATTTTCAAAATTAACTATATTGATGCAGAGCCAACAGATTTATGGTACGTTTTTTCCAANTTTCCAAATTGAAGACTTTTGGTGTAGGTTTTTAAAAGCAACACTCAGAATAAAACGAAATGGAAACTGTCTGACTCGCCAGTAGCATGCACTGCTTAAAAATGGCCAGTAATAATCAACTTACTGTCAAAAATTAAATCAAAGGCAAAATGTGAATACAGCCAGTGGTACATTCATAAACAACCAAAATAATGAGTTCAATTAATAAAGTTTCTAAATTCAATGTTTTCTAAATAAAGATGAGCTCTAATTATTAGTCAAAACTTTTGAAATAATGTGCAACAAACTTTGATACAACGAGAAATATTTCAACACTAAGAACTTACAAATTTCGAAACTCTTGCATTCCATAATTTAAATAACTGGCAGCGTAGACTCTGTACTTAAGTGTTTCTTGCGAGTCTGAGAGAAAGAACTCAAACTTCATTGAACTTTCTTTGGGAACCGGCTGATCTGGGGACACCTCAAAAGATATTTGCACACTTGCACCTCCCAAATCCAGCATGCCGTGTGTTGGTCTTTTCTTTCCATCTGTAGTTAATTAGAAGTTGAAAAACAATATTATTGGCAATGCAAAAGATAAGCTGTTGTTCACGATTTCAGCAATAAGTAAAAGTTTATTATTCCCTGTAAACATGTTGGCCTTAATAACCTCCACCAAAGTACCGACATAAATATATGTTTATTAATAATCTAACGCTGTGAAAAGTTGTATTCAAATTTCATATGACCGTACCTAAAACAACGATTGTTTCTTTCAACGTAGCAGAACTTTTCTACCCAATCACCATTTTTTAATTAATCTTCTAGAAAATCAATTGCATCTGAACGTTTAGTTGTTCCTTTACTTTAAGTAAAATGGTATTTCTCAACATCCAACAAACTTATAGAATTATTTTGTTTGAAGTATCTGTACAGTTGTTACTTATGAGTTAATGATTCAACTAGTTTATGTGTACGCTTGCTCTTGAACTTCATCTGATATGCTATCTTTTAAAAGGCGCTAGATAATCTAAGTTTTCCTGTAGAGATCAGTAAAGCCTGAAGATGTTTTACTTCTACTTTAACAGCCTTAAACAACAACGCATGATTTCAGCTACTCTGAACGTTAAAATCCTCTTACGGGTTGGAACATACATCTTGACTTTATCTTTTAGATTTAAAAGAAATCCCCGAATCAAACTTAATAAATCCTTTACAGTGTTCTTTGGCTACAGAAAATGGGTATTAATGTATTATATTCGATAATTAACTTACCTTGAAACAAACTCAAATTAGAGCCATAAGGTTTGTGTAGTACTCTGCATCTTATTGAAAGCTCCACATAGGTCTTTGATGTTTGTGAATTCAATGTGAAGGAAGTAATACTTTTACAAACAGCATCAAATCATCATTTAATAATTTCTTAATAGCAGTCAATTGGAATGCCTTCACCATTTAATGATAGCCATTCTCTAGATAGTGGTAACCACAATGTCTTTATGTATTGTGTATCGCCGGCATTTTGAGTAAATACGTCAAAAATAATACACGAAGATCCTGCGCAATTTCTTCGAGACTGATAACAGAACGCTTAGAAATGCATTGAGTCCTAATAATTTTGTTTTCATTTTCGGTGATAAATTGTATTTTACCATAATATTCAATAAAATTTATTGCTGAGTATTGTGCACTTATGAATTATATTGCTTATTTTGGCAAATCCTCACTCACATTATTGAAGTGTAATTGACACATTTTTGTCGTCCAAATTATGTATAATTATTCATATAAACACGCAAATATCTAGTTACCAAATTATCTCATGGTCTGTTTGAAGTTCGTTACAGTTACGTGAATAACAAGTTGAATATATGGCTTGTTCCTACATGAAATTCATATTACAAGCATCCCAAAACTGAACAGTGCAACCATCAATTTGATTTGAGCGCAATCGGCAATAAAAGCGGGAGTTGAAGAACCTTCACGGTATTAACTATTACTATGTTAAGTATTGGTGAAACGATATAGTTAATACCATATTGCTGATAAAAGACTGTACGTCCATGTTCCCTATTTTAGGCCGATTATGTGTAATCATTGATTGAAGCATGAGACTTTATCATAACCATTAGCAGGCATTTACGCACTACAATCACCGAGAGAACTCAGCGCTGTCTACACAGGTACAGTCAGATGGGAGTTAATGGACATTCAGGTGACTCAACGTTGACGATCGTGACACCTGAGTTGTTGTATATCAGAAAAAATGTTAGATTTTACCTTTCTATCAGCGGTTTGCAATTTAGCCTGTTATATCATCATGTTTTTGTATGATCTAGAAACTAATAAGTGAATAGGTAAATGTAAATCAATCAATAAGAATGGCATTTGATGTTTATTATGGGAAAAGATCATTGAAGGCATTTTTCAACTATTACCAACTTGTAAGGTGATAGTTTGTATTTTTATCAATTGGAAGTAATGCCACGTTTAAAAGCTACAAATTTTAATAATAATCGTTTTATTTGGATTTCTCTTGGTATTGCCTGACCACTGAGAATGTTTTATCAGTCTTCGTCCCAATAACAACAATACCTTTCTTCTCTATTCTCAATAGTAAAACGAATTACTCTTACTTGATGATGAAAATGAACCAAGGATAAAATTAATGGCTATCCATCCAAAAAGCGCTTCTTCATCTCCCGTTATTGTCTCCACATAGGCATCTTTGAATCGAAATTGATATTTGCTCCTCACAGCGGCACGAACTTCATTCAAAATTATATCCTGTTCACTTCATTATTAGAAATCCAACCAAAAAGGACTTACTTCTGCGGGAGAAGTCTCATTCCCGCAGTTGCTAATATATAAAGCGGTGTTTCAGTGTGATACTCTCTAGCGATTTCAGCCGTAGCTATATCCAACAGATGAAAGAAATAATCGCGAACTTCCGATGGCCTTTCGTGGAAGCTTGATACACCTGGAATGATCTTCCGAACAAGTGGTTTGCCCTGACGATCAAGAAACAATCTGAGAGATGAATAATTGGCATAGCCATCTCTGGTGACATCCCAAGTGTAAACAAACATCCGAGAACCGGAACTGCCTAAGAATAAAGATTTGATTATATTGCACACCTGCATCGATCATAAGTGCAAATCTTTTCTTTATTCCATACTTTTTTTCGTCATTTGAGTTTTCCATATTTCCAGTTGTCATACAACCAACTTTGGCAGCTATATTAGAAGTGATCACAAGAAGCAATATTTTCCACATTAGGCTGCGTTCAGTGCTGAAACACCCGTAGCTCTCAGAAGTTGAATAAGCTATACTTTTTCTACATTCTAATAAATATCAGCACATCATAAAATTGATAATCGTGAAAACAACCTGTGCTTTCAATAAAGTAGAAATTTCAAGGTCGTTTGTCTTAAAGTTC